AGGAAATTTTTGTTACTAACTTGTGTCTGGAGTCAGCTTCATGCAAGGAAGCAAGAGTTTCACACTTCTGGAAGGCCTGGTTCTGGCTAGCCTGAGGAAACAGAGACAACACAGGAGACTTCTGGGCAAGAGGTAAAGGCCAGAATTGCTGCTTTATGAGGGTCATGCTGAGAGCAGTCAGCAAACAGAAAACTTGCCAGTGATGCTGGCAGAGAGGAAGACATGGTGATGATGCTCATGGCAAAACAGCCATCCCAGTGCATAGAGGAGAGCAGCATAGTTGTAGTTGTTGTAGTTGTTGTACTTGAAGGATTCACCTGCCAATGCTGAGGAGAACCAGGCTGCATCAGAGTGCTCTGCTCATGTCCTCTGCCCTTGGCAGTGGCTGGGGCTGCAGAATGTGTTACCATACGTGTTACCATGTGGGAACTCCCAGACAATCTGGCAGAGCTGAGTTTGCAGCTCCCCACGTACAGCAAGCAACTCTCTTCTATAGCTCATCTGCCTGGTGAGGCCAGCAGGGATGACAGACTTCTGAAAAGCTCTCTGCACAGAGGTCCTGGGTCCTGCTGCTGCTGTTAGCTCTCACAGCTATTGTATGAGAAAATGTGTTCCCTAAGCAGGGGCTAAAGGCAACCACTCCTCACCACCCCTGTCCTTTCCATCCACCAATCCAACTGCACACAGCAATGCTCCTGGACAGAGCTCTGCTTGCGTGAGCACTCCCTATCCAGCTGAGAAGGACACCTTGCTCACTGTCCTTGTCCAGTGTGTGCTCATGCTGGACACGTAGCATCTGGCATGACCGCATGTGACAGCATGTGGCTATGGGTTGTGTCTTTTCATGCCCGCCCAGAATCCCTTCCTTCGGCTGTCCGGGCTAGCAGCTGGTACCCTGACTGCAAACACATGCCGTCTTCAGGTCCACTGACCTCCTGGCCATGGACTTGAGGCAGGACAGCAGGCACTGGAAGGTGCTCTTGAGGAGAAACACTGCTTCTGCACATCCCACAGGCAGTTGACCGAGGCCCCTCATTGTCACATAGATGGTTTATATTTTTAAATGCCTGTGGTACTGAACTGTGACTTGGGGACATGCAGAGAGAGAGAAGGCCACAAAAGCCTGCTGCAACACATTTGGAGATCCCAACAGCAGAGCGTGGCCAGTGTGCACTCAAGTAGGGCCCCTGTGGGCATTGAGCCCCTCCCTCAGCAGCCTCTCCAATCCCAGTTTATTTGTGAGAGAACCTACAGATACACTGCAGATGAGCCACGCCATGAATAATTAGGCAGTAATGGGACAGGACTTTGGGGTACGGTCAGTGTGTCACCATGAAAATATGGAGGAGCTGTTTGTGACTCAAAGGACAGCTAAATCTGAGCAGATACTTGCCCCTCCTCTCAGGGAAGGTCAAGTGTAAATGCTCCCTGGCTCTGACAAAGATGTATATGCTGCTTGAAGGACAAATTTGAGACCAATTTTAGAAAAGTATGTCTTCCCTGAGCAGGGTTATTTCCACCACGACTTTCATCTCTTCACATCTCTTCACCATGATGAAAAAGTTATTTAAAAAACCCTAAAGCATTTTTACCTTTATGCAACATTTCCCCCCCATCCCACTGTTCTCACACTTAAACCAGCAAAAACATTCTTGCTCAAGCTTTCCAGAAACAATTTCACCTTTGGGCAGAGAATAAGCACATAAATTCTGAACCCAGAAAAACAGAAATTTCAGGCTGTTCTGACTAAAAGAGGAGGAAAGCTCAGGAGACTAGAATGGAAACAGTGTTGTGCAACAGAAATTACAGTCTGCTGCTTCTTGCAGTATAACTCTTACTTGAATTTAATTTTTCAAACAAATTGAAGTTCCTTGAGGATACTGACAGTAATAGACAACTGGCCTTTAAAAATGGCTAACTCCAAGAAAATACGCAGGTATCACTTTTGCATCCTGCAACTCCTTACCTGCAGAGCTTAAATACTATATCTAGGAATAGAGTTTTAGGCATTTGAGAAACTTTAAGGTCACATAGTAGTCTTTTGCAGACTTCTGGAGTCTTGTAAGTTGAGTGACAACTTATATGTATTTAGGAACACTTTTTGGGTTCAGGCACTCAGATTTTTATTTTTATTCACTGTCATAGTGGCTGGAAATAAACCTAAATAAATTTTATTTATTTAAACAGATTTTTTTTCTTGCAATAGGCATGTTCTAGGAACTGCACTTCTATATAGTACCAATTTTCTACTTTTTCTTTATTGACTACTACAGAAACTGATTAGATCAGATGATGTAATTCTAAGATATCTGAGATGCTTGAAATGGCTATGGAAGCCTTTATCTTTAATGTTTTATGACATGCCAAAAAATTTGGAAAGTTCTCAGCTTGCACATTATTTACTGGTATCTTGCCACTTTGTAACTTGGATCAGTGAGATTGCATCTATATTAGATAGCTCTATTTGTCACTAGTCCATTATCCTAGCCTTGCCATCATGGCACACAGGTTTGTTTTTTTTTTTTTTTTTTAAATCTACTGCACTCAGTACAATTTATGACAATCAGTGCATGGCAAATAATCTTTCACAATGGGCAAACAGAAACCTGATGGTATTAAACACTTATTCCTGTTCTGTGCATTTTGTCCCTTAGCTGTATTTATATATAATATTTATCAGTTATACAGTGGTATTTATAAATATTTTCTATTTTTGCATGTCTGATTTCCGTTTTGCTATCCATGTGTATTGCAGATATTTTAATTCATCAAAGGCTTTTATCCTCTCTCCTCTGGTTGCAAGTCAGAATGCGTTTCCATACTACATTTTTTCCAGAGGCAAAATTGATCTGGACAGTTCTCTTCCTTCCCTATGCCACTTGTTCCTGCTGCCACATCAATCTTCTGCAATGCTTTTTGTGCAAATGCAGCCATCTGTGGGGCAATACTGTAGGACAGATCAGTAAAATCAGGGATGCTAAAAATAAAGTCTCCAGGAAAAAAAATAAATTGGCAAGACAGCTGAGCTGGAAAACATAGGAGAGTGGTGAATCTTCCAACAAAGGGTGTTCTTCAGGGCAAGATGAAAGCAAGATCAAGGATATAAATGTGCATGTCAAAAGGGGAAGGGTTGAGGACAGGTTTTTCCCTAAAAATGACAGGCTGGAGACCAGATGATGACAGAGCCTGCAGGAAACATGAAATTGCCTAATAAAAAAATAGAGTTGGACTTTGCCAATTTTATATTGAAGATGATGGTTGAATATTCAGATAAAAGATTTCAAAGGGAGACTCACTTGTGGGATCAGAGACATGAAAACATTTACCCATCATATTTGATACTCTTCCAATATGACTTTAAAGAAAAGACCACCAACACATGAAAATCCGGCCCAAGGTGCTGATTTTACACTACCATATGAGAAAACAGTGTTTCATATGTAAATATTGAAATTACACCGAGGCCAGCAGTCCAGATAAGCAGAGATTATGGGAAGGATATACAAAATTGAGATGTAGTTGTCTATCTCATACCCTTTTCTCCATTCCTTACCACCAAGAAGAAAAGCACTTTCCTTCCTCAGCCCTCTCTGCTCACCTGTCCTCATGTTGATATGATTTTTACCCTTCCATGTTTGACAGCATGTTGTGTGTGCTTATGCCTCCTTAGAACACACCAGATGTTTTGCTGGGAGGGCAGTATTTTTGTATTGTGATATAATACTTTGTACTTTTCTGCCAGCAACTGAATTAAATACTTACAAAGGTTAAATCCTAGATGTTCTTCAGAAAGTGTTTTGGAAAGACAGACTAGTTAGCATTCTTAAACCTTGTATGCCTCACCAAATGCAGAGCGCATAAGGTATTTCCTCTCTGCTCAAGAGTTTGAGCAGCCCCTACTTTTCCTTAATACCTCTTTGTCATTCCGTTCTGTAATAATAACAAGCAAACAAATGTATCTTCCTTACATACCAAAATAAACAACTGCCAGTTTTAGTGTACAGCTTGTGCAGAAAAGACTTTCTTTTGTCCCTATGCTTAGTGTATTTTGTTAATTGACTATTTTGAATACTTCTGATGAAAAGCACCTACTTGGCTGCAGGCTCTCTACTACCAAGCTCTCAGCAGGGTGGCTGGCTGGAGGTTTGCTTTGTCCCTCATCAGCTTCAAGGAGAAGCCATCTCACCACCACAGTGACTGCTCAATGTCCCAGTCCAGAATTTTAAAACACCAGGGTTCTGTTTCCCTCCTATTCTCCAGCATTAGCCAATATATTTCAGAACATTTGTACTGATTTGCTGAATCCCTCTGGACATTTAGAAAGTAATATATTACTGAACTGCTTTGCTGGCTGGTTTTTGTTTGTTGGTAGCTGCACATTTGAGCTGGCAAAATGGTTTGCTGTTGCAAAATTTGTTCACTAACCTACCATGCTATTCTATCTGCTAATCTTTTTGTTTGTCCTCATTTTCTTTCCCTCACACACCTCCATTCTTGTCTTTTTCTCATTTTATGAGCTAATTCCCTTTCTCTAATATCCTTTTTCTGTATCAAATCCCATACATAACAAAGCGTCCAAGATTTTACTCTGCAAGTTGTTGTATGTAATAAACTTCTGTGTATCTTATCCAGCTGAACACAATGGCACCACTCACACGCCCTAAGTGACACGTACGTGTTTGCAGTACTGGAGCCTGAGCAACTCACCTAGCCACTGGCTTTTACAAGCCAAGAGGGAACTACCGTGGTTTGCACACAACATGCCAAAATTCCAGTATAATCTCATTGGTGTTACCCTTATTTTCCACTTCCCCTCCCTGTTTGTTGTAACTGCCTATTCTGTCATTTCAGATTAAGTATCTCATCACGGAATCACTTGTATTTACTTTTAATTTGATGTACTGGAAGTAGTCCTATTGACTTAAACAGAACTATGCACATAAATAAAGGTAAGTATACGTGTAAGCCTTTCACTGATGGTACATTGCAAATCCCACAGGAAAAGCATGGTACATTTTATTCATTTTACTATCTTTGCGCATGTCAAGTGCAGGCTGGGTGATTAACAACTTCTTCCAGAGTAAGTTTTCAGGTTTCATACCAGTTTAATGGAAGAACCACTAGTCGTAAGCACAGGATCAGCTCCAGTTCCACAGAATTCTGAGACGACAGTGTGAATGATTTACTAGGGAAAAAAAACCCCACACTACTTAAATCCAATGTAATAATAATGTAGGCAGAGAATTCTGAAACATGCCAGAGGAGATTGGGGCCAGGAGTGGAGGTCAGGAGCAGCAAGCCGGCTGTGGGAGAGGGCGGTAGCTACGATAGGGCTGCAGAGGCAGGGAATCCCGCGGAAGACCGCATGAAGGTCGGTAGCAAAAGGAGAACCCGAACTCAGGGACGGGTGAGCGATGCAGGTGGGCCGGAGGCTGACCGCAGCTAAATGCAGAACAGGGCCATGCCGCCAAGGAAGAGATGGGCGCTTGTGGGCAAATTCTGAGGCGGCTCCTGTTTCAAATGGCAAAGGGGGGCGAAAAGAAGGTAAATCTGTATGTTGCAGCACGGAAACCGGGTTTTGTCATTTTGGCAAGTGAATCAGCGCTCAGCAGCACGACCTATTGAAACGCCCCAATAATTCATTCTTCGCCTCGCACTTTTGCATTTCCATGGGTGTGAAGCCCACGGAACTGTACATGCATACAACGTTGTACCTTGTGCTGCAACTGCAGCTGGCAGCGCTGCGGCGTCCCCCGCCGCGGGGGCAGAGACACCGCACCCACCCCGCCGGCTCCGAGCACCCCCCGTTCCTGACTCGCACTCACTCACACACACACACACATAGACACACACACGGAGGCGCTTCCTGCGCGGCGCCGGGCTCGGGCGGGCGGAGCAGCGCCGCTTCCTCCCGCCGACTCACAGGTACCGGGGGTGGGTCCGCGGCGGGGCGGGGGGCTCCGAGGGGCCCGGCGGTGGCGGCGTCCCCCGGCTCGGGCCTCCGCCGGCGGCCGCCGCCCTGAGCGTGGCGGCGGGTGAGGGGTGGAGCGGAACCTCCGAGCCGGAGCCGCCTCTGGGCGGGAGCCCGAGCCCGGGGGGAGAGGGCCCGAGAGCGTCCTGGCGGCCGGGGGGAAGTCGGCGGCGTCCCCCGCTGCTGCTCACATTGCTGGAGGGTGAAGTCATCGTGCCCATTGTCTCCCCCCGGGCGGAGCGAGCGGCCCGTGGCGGAGGAGGGGGGCACGGCCGGCCCCCAGGGCTCGGGGAGCCCCGGGTGGGTCCCGCTCGGCCCCGGCGCGGTGTGCGGGGAGGAGCTGCCGCCCTCCGCCAGCCTGGGTGGGCCGCGGGGCCCCTCGGCCGGCGCCGCGCTCCCGCCGCCCGCCAGCGGCATCGGCCCGGGGGCCTGGGAACTCCGGCACTTGAACTTGCGGGGCACCGGGAGACCTGGCACGGGGAGGGGAACGCGAGCAGCTCCCGGGCCTCCAGCACCCCGGGGGCAGCGTTCGCACCTCCTCCCGGAGAGCTTCTCCCCTCGGAGAGCTTCTAGTTGACCTCTCTGTGGTGTGTTGCCCACCCCGGATCCGGTGGTCGGGGGAGTTTGCAGGGATAGTGCATCTCGGCTGTGAGGGCGGTGGGGGACAAGCAGTGGGAATAGCCCGCGTCCTGCCGAGTGTTTTCCTTGCATAGGTCCTTCTGCAAAGCTGGGAGTTTTCCACCTAGCAGTTTGCTAGACGCACACGGCAGCTACTGCAGGCGCACGTTCGAAAGACAGGGAAGAATTGGTAACAAACTGTGTGAAAGCCAGCGTGCATGTAAGTGAGCTGAAGAGGTGATGGCTGGCAAAGGGAAGGCGTCCTTCTGCCTTTCTCGTTCTGCTCCAGTACTGCCTCTTGACAGAAAGAAATGGGGCTTTGCCAGAGGGGTAGTAGTGGGATGGAGTTATGGGGATATACCAAAGGGACAGTAGTAGCTGTTAGTGCTGAGCAGAGAAACCAAAATTTGAAGCCTTCATGTCCTTGTGGTTGCTTCTTGGATATATGTCTGTATTTTTCCATGAGGAGCACAACAAATCGTGTTTCTGTTAAAATACTGTAGTTGGCATTGGTACTGATTAGAGCTTTATCTCAACTGTCATCAAGGATAGCATTATTGTATTAAGCACAGTTTGGGGAAACACATCTTGCAGGGTTTAATTCTGGAGACAAAACTAAACATAAATTCGTTTTGAAAATTAATTTTTCCCCTCAGTGTTTTTTTACTAACTAATCTTTTTGTTAGTCAAAGAACCATATTTCACTGTCTGATTAAATGTTTCTTATTAAATTCGTTGGAAAAGAAAGTTTCTGTTGTAATATCCAGGTCAGACTGAAGTAAAATTCTGAATTGCCCAGCTAACAGAATTCACTTAATACTTAGAAATGATGGCTGTGTAACACTACTTAACAGTTTACAAAATCTGGTACTTATTTAACTCTAAACATTTAAATGCTTGTACTTCAAGCTTTCAGAAAGCTGAGAAAGCACTTTTTTATTTTTAATTGCATGTGAACTCAGCCTGTTTGTCCAGAAAATGAAAGTTTCGCTTTTGCACAATGATAATAATGCTCATCTTAAAAACAAGTTCAGTAAAAGGTTTACATATGCAAACTCTTTTGTTTGTATATTTCTTGAAGTATGCCAGTTTCAACTGCATTTTATACAATTCATTTATAAAATGCTGAATTCAAGCTGTTATGTTTATCTTGTCAGGTATTTTTGATTTGTGGACATAAGATCATAATTTCTAAAAGAAGGAGTTGAAATGTTTAAGTGTGTTTTTCTTCTCTCCCCTTCAGCTTAAATCTGTCAGACAAATGACACATTCCTTATGCAGAGCAATCATCAGATTTTGATTAATTGTACTAGCTGAGACTCAGGAGGAAAGAAGATGCTTGACAGATGTATTTGTTTACCTTCATAGTGTGTACAAATTCTGATCTCTCCATTAGTAAATGAATCATTAAAACTCCCTTAGCTATGAGATTCCCAGTTAACATTAATAAATGCATTAGGAAAACCTGTTTTATGTAAATATTATCAACCTGTGAAAGAACACAAGCCCTTGAATTCTTTTCGCTGTTAGGTAGAGTCTTTTGTGGTGGGAAATATGTTATGTGGGTTTTTCCCCCATACTCTTAATTAACAGCATTTAGCTACTATTCCCCTATGAGAAATAGGGGAGCTACTATGAGAAAAACTTCAGACTGAATTTGTTTGGTGAGTAGGTGATTCTTCCTGACTAGTACAGTAGGTAGGGTTTTCTCCCCTGTTTACTGGGCCTGTTTGATCCATTCTCAGTCTTATTAAAGTATTCCTTACAAAGATCCAACACAAACACCACCCCCCTTCCTTCCAGGATGACAGTGTAAGATGCCTACATAGGCATCCTTTTCATAGGACTTCTGAATCCTGGTTTGGAAGCACTAGGAAAGATCTTTGAGCTCTGAAGTACAGCTGTAGTGCTCTGGACTACTGTCCTCTGATGGCCTTTAGCCAAGCTGGTGCTCTCCATTGTGGGGTCAGTTTACTCTGGCCCATGGTCAGACATCCATATTGGCTTTGTGAGTTGTTTTCTGAATTGTACCTAAACGTCATGTACTGGCCCAGCAGAATAAATTTTAATACCTGAATTAAATGAACTGATGGATACATGTTTTGAGTTCTACTCCTAGTGTGATTTCTGGTTTGTAGCTGAGATATGAGTCAGTCCAATTCTTTCGGAGGGTCAGTGAAAGCTCTTTGAATGATTAATAAAAGTATTAATTTTAACACTGGCTTATCTGTAAAGAAGTTGATTTCAAATTTTTGTCTTGTGTTTGTCTTAGCTCTGTTTCCATTGTGCCTTCTGTGTTAGCTGATGGAAGATGTGTAGCTGAATGAATTGGTGTGCCTCGTACACCTTCAAGATGCTGGAACTGGTGTGGGATCTTACTGCTAAAAGCATGTGAATTGCACCTGGAGGTAGACTTCTACCAAGAAGGTAAAAAGTTGCATTCAATCTTAGAGAACTGATTGTTTTTATTAGTATTGCAATGTACCATTTTTTCCCCAGTAGGAAGAATATGGAAGAGGCTGTATCAGTACCTCTCAAAACAGTTGTTTGGGGGTTTTTTTAATGCTCCTATTTTTCACAAGAGGAGACTTCCTTTTATTTCTGAGTCTCTGAAGTGGAAGTTTTATTCTTGTTTTATTCTAATTTTAGTTATTGTCAAGTAGTTTGTATTTTAAATCGTCAATTAAATAATCTTTAAGGAAAAACATATACCTTTGTGTGTTATATATAGATAACACTTGAGATATTGTTGTGCTCTACTTTAACCCAAAAAGAAACTTTCAAGTAGAATTACACTCTTCGCCCTTAGGTATTCACTTGAGGGATTTCTTCAGGCACTTAAAAAAATTTATTTTGTTTCTTGGTGCATTGTAATAATAAATAGGTGTTTAGTCTGTGGCTGATATTTATGGATTTACAGATTTCTTCCAAACTTGGGTAAACTAATGTTCACCTCATTATTGCAGATCTTTTTGTAAGTTTATTTTTTAGTTGATAGAAAGAGACTTTGTGGAAGAGATTTCACTCATCTGAGTCATAAGGTGCCTTAGTCTTTTCTTCAGTGATCTTGATTGTTTCATGTATATTTCTGGTGGCTCTCAAGCACTTCATAACTGTGTTTTACCTTGGTTTTGGTTTCTGGTCCTTCTCTGGCACAGGTTGTTTGTTTTTTCTGTTTTTTTTTTTCCTCAATGCAAGTACTGACTTAAGGATCCAAACCAAAGCAATGGGTATCTAGAAGGAGCTGTAAATGTTGTGTGGGACTATAATATTACAGGGCTCTACAAGAAGTTTTCTTCCTGTTGTGAGCATGTCTTATGCCGGCTTTAGAATGGTCTTTGACTTCTTCAAAGTAGAATTTGTAGAAGGAAGGAAAGCCCCACAGGTGAGCTGTGAGATGTCATTTGTGATACGGCCCTTAGGTCTTCCATCATTACGGCAAATGAGAAGGGGTTTGTGTGTCTGTTTTGCTTTACCTTCATTGATGTTGTAGCATACTTCTTAGAAGAATTAACCATACCTTGGGGCTTATTCATGGAACAAGAAAAAGTAGGAGTACTTTCATTTTAGGTTACTTTTTTTGTAATGGAAAGATTACTGTAGACTTTTCCACTTTTAAACTGTGGATTGAAGTCAGTCACCTGCTGGGCGACTGGTAGCCTCCTGTTGGACGTGTAGCCAAACACAAAATGAGAATAAGTTGTTGGGGTTTTTTGGGTTTTTTTGAAGGGTGAGTTTCCAAAGATTCACTTTACATCTAGACATACTGCACCAGTCTGGAAAGCTGATATAAGAGTTATTTTAACTTAAAGCAACTTAGCAAATGACCTAGTGAAATGAGCTTAAAGTTTCATATATACAGGTGTTTCCTCAGGCATTAAAACTTCCTCTCTTTAGAGGCCAGCATATCCCCTAATGATGTCTTCAGCAAGACATTTAAAGGGCACCTTGCAGAAATAAATGTTTGTACCAATTGAGTTTGGTATAGTCAGTTGTTTTTGCTTCCTAAATAGAGCACAACTCTGTTAATGCAAGTATCCTGTTATTGTTCAGCACAAACTGTCATTGTGGGACTATGTCAGTTCTGTTCTGCTTCCATTTATAGTTGAGACAAATTACTGTTAAACAAACATTTTTCCATAGGTCCTTTAGTTGCTCCCATAAGGCAGATTAGAGCTTACTCTAAATTGGAGCGCCTAGCTGTCCCCTTCTGTTGTTCCATTTAGTGGGTGAAGAACTGCTTCAGCAAAAGGACTAACTCTGGGGAAATTGTATGCAGTAAGAATCATGTTGTTTTGTTCTCATTGTTTTTCACTGATGCTGCATGTCCTTAATAAATAAAATTATCACTTTTAAGTTTCTTGGTTAATGATCGGATTTTTCACATAAAAACAAACTCTGTGAGCCACATCTAGTAATCAAGTTTTATTTTTATCCTAAAATGCTTAATATGTCAGACTGTTCCAGCCATAGTGTTTAGTGCATTGCATACGACTTCTGGTGAGACAAATTTACCTCGCACATATTTTCAATAAATGGTTTTTAGGGAGTGCAGAATGGTCTTGCGTCTTGGGGATCTTCTGAACAGTGGAGTTTCAGGTGGGACTGAGGGTTTTAGTTAAGGCATGGGGCTGCTTGCTAGTTTTGAATATGATGGCACCACTAGTGCTGCTGTGCCTTGTTTTTATTTTTAAGTATTTATACAAAATAACCTTGTTAACTGCTCTTAGATAAATAAGAGTCTTTCACAGCACTATAACAGTTGCATTCCAGAGGAAAAGAGTATTGGTGTTGCTGTGACTAAATGCGTCATTCATCTGTTTCCTTTGCTAAAAGTACATGGTGCTCAGAATTTACTGTATATTTCTGTGAAACTGGACAAGGGGGGGATGTTTTGGCAGATCTTCTGCGGTACTGCCATTCAGAACTCAATCTCAGGAAGAAACATTTATACTTTTTTTTAGGAAATAGAAGGTGCTTATTTATTGTAAATTAGATAGTTGAGGAGTGCTTTAGGCTTTTTATGGCCTGCAAATTGGGGCCATGTGCCCAGCCCTATGTTGCAGCTCTTCCTTGTATCAAGATCTAATAGG